TCAACCACTGACTGCAATGTGTGTGTGCCTGCCAGCCTGCTGTGCGTGCTTGGGTGATCAATTTTGATCTCACAGCCAGCTCTCTGACAGCAAAGAGCGCATGGGCTCGCATTTTGTCTGTGCGCTTTCACGGCGTAAAAGTGAAAGTCTGCGGATCTGTGGTTGCTGGATGCACCTTTTTGGCTTTACGGCGTAAAATTTCATGGCGCGCGCGTATGGCACCTGCTATGGGGCGCTCCTATGGGGCACGTATAGGAGCATATGGCGCGCATCTGTCTGCCCCCTTTTACGGCGTAAAAGTACCTCTGGCCATCTCCATGGACGTCCATACGCATCATTTGGTGGGGGAACTGGGGGGAACTGGCTGCGCATCCCGCTTTTGCGTCGTGAAAGTCTTGGGGAATATATATAGGGTCACGTGCGCGTGTGCGTGTGTGCAGGAGCAAATTCAATCTCACAGCCGAAAGCTGTGCATGTGTGAGTGTGGTGTGAGATCAAATTTGATCTCACAGCCGTGCGACCTGTGAGTGTGTGGTGCGTGTGTGCATCCTGTCAAACATGTGCGTGCGTGCGGGATCAATTTTGATCTCACAGCCAAAACTTGTGGTTGCGTGCGTGGGATCAAATTTGATCTCACAGCCAGAGGGTGTGTGCGGGCGTAAGGGTCACGTGTGCGTGTGCATGCGTGTGTGTGTGCGTGCGTGTGGGATCAAATTTGATCTCACAGTCAGAAGAGCCTTCAGCACGCGCGCGCGTGCACCGCGCGTGTGGCATAGGTACGTATGGGAGCGTGTGGCGCGCGTCTGTCTGCGCACTTTTACGGCGTAAAAGTGGAAATCCGTGGATCTGTGGACGTCTGGACGCGTTTTTTGGCGGGGCAAGATCGCGTTTACGCCGTAAAAGTCTCAGGGCATATGTATAGGGGGTTTGCAAAGCGCAAAGCCAGCATCTAGACGCTCGCATCGCCTTCTCACACTCGTGCCACATTGCGGCTGAGGCACGAGCGCAGAGCTCAGGGTGCCCCATCATCGGCGCACAAGCTCAGCGCCTCATCCTGGCGTCAGCCGCAGCGGGGGTAGGCACACGAAGATTGACGAAGCTCAATCGTGCCCTATCACGACGTTCTGTGCGGATCACCATGCGCCCCTACCCGTCTCCGAACTTCTCTTCAAATCACTCAAAGTTCCCAAAAGAATTCTACAGGCATGTCAATTCCGAGCTTCGCGTCACGGATGGCGACGGATGGGGCATTTGTTTGGCAAGCATCCGCTAGGCTGCCGCTGTTGCTGCCGTCGGCCGAGCGACGGGCTTGATGTCGTACATGCTAGCTAGCTTGCCATCGAGGTAGGGCGCAGGCGAAGGGCCCATGACGCCCACAGCTGGTTCGTTTGCGCCTCGCCCATCGGCAAGGAGCGCTTTCAGGCTTCCCTTGGCTTCGGCATCTGAGACTTTGAGAGGTGCGAGGCCCTTTTGCCAATCATAATCTTCCCATCGGGGGTTGCTAATAGTGTCTGCAAAGTGAAGGAACGTGCCTGCAGCCGATCGAGGACATGGGAGTAATCAGACTACTGGCCAAGGCTCGGTCTTTGCAGACGGATCAGACAGGCTCACCAGGCCAATTTGTAGTGATCCTGCCTTCAGAATTCTTGTACCAAGCTACGCGCATTGCAGCATAACCAAATCTCATCAGCCGATGCACTCTTTGATAGAGCCGACACGTGAAGATAATTACCGCCACTCACAGTTGCAGCCCTGAGTCCAGACCTGGGTCTTCATGAAGTTGTCGCTGTAGTCACAAAATTCGTTGATTGCTGAGCTCTTCGGGGCAAGCGATGCTCCAGTGGGAAGGCCTTGCAATTTGACGACTGCCTTTGCAATATAATCGCTCAGTAGGGAGAAACTGGAAATGAATAAGGACATTTCGCAGGCAGGTCCGATCGTCAGCCAGAGCTGCGCAGGACTTTCTTTTGTACTCACGGCTTCCATTTGCTGACGGGTGTTGAGGACCTGCAATCGTAAAGTAATTGGGCATGTCTGGAGTGGCCAACGAGAGATAGCCTCTAGGACTCTTGGCCCATTCGCCACGAAGAGATGATCCGCTGCGACCGACAAGTTCGAAGGGTGGCACGTGGTCGACCTTGTATCCAGTCTGTAAGACCCTTTCGGTTCATCAGCGAAGAGGAACATTTGGACTACTTTGAGCAGACACTTACCGCCAGAATGACCAAGTCGACGGCACGTTCCTTATCGTCTCCAGCAGCGACAATTCCTGTCTTGGTGAGGCGATCGACAGCGCGTTGTATAACGTCCACATTCGATCCAGTGATCGTCTCGAAGAAGCCCGGGCCAGGAGTCGGTCGTCGGCAACCAAAGCTGAACTCTGGGATGAAGGACGACTCGAGCTCGGGCTTAACTGCCAGCTTGGCACGCGCGAGACCTGTCAAAGCATCTGCGAGACGAGGGGAAAAAAAAAAAAAAA